GGGGACCACCGAGGCAGGGTGGGGCTCAGTGGGGACCACTGAGGCAGGGTGGGGTTCAGTGGGGACCACCGAGGCAGGGTGGGGCTCAGTGGGGACCACCGAGGCAGGGTGGGGTTCAGTGGGGACCACCGAGGCAGGTTGGGGCTCAGTGGAGACCACCTAGGCAGGGTGGGGTTCAGTGGAGACAAGGGTGAGGACCAGTGGGGCCAACCCTGGGGATGGATTGCGTTCCGCAGGGTGATAGTGAGGACCAGCAGAGCTTGGTCAGGTTGGATGGGGTTCAGTGGACCAACAGTACTCTCAGTGGGGTCAGTGATGGGGATGGATGGGGTTTGGTAGAAAGAAGCAGGAAGGGGCCAGGCCTGGTCTGTCTCACCTTCATGGGGCTCCTGACAGTGGGGGGCCTTGATGGCAAGTACATTTCTCCACCATTTTGGTCTCAAACCCCTTCATGCTCTTAGAAGCGATCAAATATCTCGGCTTCAGTTTATGTGGGTTACATCTATCGATATTGTCCTCCTGAAAAATATGGTTGGAGACATTTAAAAGCATCTGTTTACTAGCTCACAACATGTGACTAGAAGTAGCAGGTTTGTAAAAACAAAGTGTGGTTTTCAGAGCATGAGACGTCTGACGTGATGCCGCCGTGCTGCTTTGCATGCAGTTCTGAAGGCAGAGCAGACCCCAGGCAGGGTCCAGCTGTGGCTTTAAACCAGGAACCAGTGTTGTGTGGCTGCCATCTGGTTGGGCCTCGTGCAGCCCTGTCCCTGTGAAGGAGGGGGCCTTGCGGGGCGTGCTGACGCGGCACCACTGTTAAGCAGGGGGTGGTTTTGTAAAGGTGTTGAGTCGGAAGTCCTGTCGGTGCAGAAGCCTCTAGCCGTATCTTTCAGCTTTGGGCTGTCTCCACGCCCGCCCCCCCCATCGATGGCCACAGGTGAACAAGATGTCTAGAAAACTAGTGGACTTGTGGGGGGCCCACAGTTATGAAAACCTCCAAGATCCAGCTAAACGCCTTGAGGGAATGAGTGTGTGCTCTGGGGGCTCAGGATCCTAGTCTCAGTGGGCATAGTGTAGATCCCCAAGCCCGTGCTCTGTACCCTACTTCGGTGAGTAGTGACTGGCGTTGTAACAGCTCAGGAGTGGCCCCCCAAGGCACAGCTGGGACAAAGAAGAGTGAAGAAAATAGAAGGTGCGTGAAAACCATCAGTCCAGCGTGTCCTGATGGAACATGTGACCATCAGCCTCGGTGACCCAGAGGCCAGCCATCACTACCCGCTGCTCTGGAAGGGAGACAGAAGTGGAGTCAGACTCAAATTCCTGAGCAAGACCAAACTTGCTGGTGGTCTAGAGGCTGGTGGAACCCTGACACTGAGCCCCCCCGGTCACCCTTCAGGTCTGGAATCGACCCTGCCCACAGCTCAGTTTCCAGCCAAACCCTAGACAAGTGGAGAAGAGGAAAGTAACACGAGAGGTTCGCGCACCTTAGAACCACCAGTCATGTGAGATGAAAAGGGCAGCGTCCACCCCAGGACGGAGTCCACAAGGGCTGGGAAAGGAGGAGCACAGGCCGGAAGTGGGAACCACAGAGCAGGTGGTCACCCAATTCACAATAAAGAATTAACCCCCAATGCAGTGGCTTTATCAGGGTTGCCCTTGAGTGAAGGAGCTGTTTGTTAAGCAAGCGGACGGTGTTCTGACGCTGGGGACTTGCGTGATTGTGGAACATACATCAGGTGTCATGGCGGGTCTTCCTGGAAAGGCTTTGCGGGACCCACACGTCCTTGGACCATTCATTGGAAATCGTGGTGTTAGACACCCAGCTCCCACCCCATAACACAGGCTCATGGGATGTATCCCAGGAGAGCGCGGGGCGGCGGGCAAGCAGGATGGTTTTCTGTACTGACACCCGCAGAGAAGCAAGGAGAGCCCAGGAGGAGGACGCTCAGCAGGCTCTGACCTCAGGAATGGTGGTTTCCGTACAGCTGGATGGGACGGGCGCAGCACCCTGGCGATGCTATGTCGCCTTTCTGTGTCTTGTCACAGCACCTGGACGGGCACTCCGGGACTGTTAATGCCCACCTGGGCATGGCGGCTCTCTTTGGTTAGATTTTCTTTTGAGCCAGAAGTGGACACTTGCTCGTTTCTCGATTTCTTGGTGTCCTGAGCAGTGACCATGGGGCTCTGGGTATCAAGCGATCCTTGCGTCCCTGACATTAACAATCACGATCGCCATTTCAGAGGGGGTGGGGTGCGGGTGGCGTCTGCTCCAGGCTCCCCACGGGCTGGGACCCCTACTAGCAGCTGGACTCAGCTCAGGTCTCTGTCATGGGGGCCTCTGCTGAGGGTGGTAACAGCCCTCTTGGGGCTCCTACCCCACAGAGCAGTGAGATGCCCCTGGATGAGCTGCTGGCTCTCTACGGCTACGAGGCCTCGGACCCCATCTCAGAGCAGGAGAGTGAGGGCCCCGACGCTGCCCCGCTCCCAGACATGACCCTGGACAAGGTGAGTGCTCTCCTTCCCTCTCCTCTGCCCCTCCCTCCCCTGCTCCCAGCCCCCCACCACAGATCTCGGGGTACAGGGATGGCTGACATGTTGTCCTCACTACTAGTTCTGGTTTGAGACTTTGGGAGTGAACCCTAAAGCTTGGTTATTGTTTGTGGTTGAAAGGAACAGATCGCGAAGGATTTGCTCTCAGGAGAGGAGGAGGAGGAGACACAGTCATCTGCTGATGACCTCACCCCGTCTGTGACTGCCCACTCGGCCTCAGCCCTGTTCCCCAGCCAGAGTGGACGTAGGTGCTTCTGCCACTTTGGGGGGGCATTGTGTCCTGGGTCTGATCCCCTCAGAGGGAGGGAGCTTTGAGCCAGGCCTTGGGTAGGGGATGGACCGACTCTTAGAGCTGAGGCCCAGTCCGCTTTAGGGAGTGTCCCCCCACTAGGAGGTGCTCAGGGTGCGAGGGCTCACATGTCACCCTCTGGCCAAGCTGCTTGTTGGGAGGGGCTGTGGTGGGGGCCATGCGGATTGGCTAGGGTTGGGAGGTTAGTCCCCAGAGTAGCCTGGACTTGTCACCCCAAGAAGGAATGTGGGGACACTATGTAGTGGAGGCTGAGAGGCAGTCTGGGTCTTATCCGAGGCCATACCTCCCTGACCCCCCTCTCCCCAAAGCCCGTTTCCTGGCCAGTGGAGACAAAGAACCCAGCTCTTCCTCCTCCTCGGACACTGAGGAGGACTCTCTTCCTGCCAACAAGTGTAAGAAGGTATGTGCTGCCCACCCGCCTCTACACACTGCTGGCCTGTTTCCTCCCTGGGACCCAGGAACCCAGAGGACCTGCCCATGGCCAGCACTGGCCCCCTCCACGCCTGACCTTTGCCTTTGCATTCGCAGGAGATCATGGTGGGACCTCAGTTCCAAGCAGACCTCAGCAGCCTGCACCTGAGCAGACACAGCGAGAAGAGTAAGTGGGCCCAGTCACCCACTTCACCTGGACAGCCACTGGGGTGCACTGATGCTCGGCCGGTGGATTCCTCTGGGTGTGCTTGTCTGAAAAAGTCTTGGTTTCACTTTCCTTTTGGGGAGATTCTTTTCTTGGTTATAGGTTGGCAGGATTTTTCCTTTCAACCCTTGGACTGTTTTGTTCAGTTGTTTCTAGCGTCTATTATTTGTGTTAAAAGATAGGCGTCGACCATATGCACCTTTGGAGGCTTTGTACCTTTGTCTTAGAAAAAGCATGCTTATGAGTTTTTTTCTCTGTCCTGGTGTGCTGGCTGTGGCTCTGAGAATGGCCTCCGTCAGTCTTAGGTACCATGGTCTGGTGTCTGCCTCTGGGACTCAGCTACGCATGTGCGGGAGCATCTCTTCGAATGCTGTTTCCATCCCTGGTCTCTGTAGGCCTAACTGTGGATCCTTCTACTTAAGCCTTTTCCGTTGTTCCTCTGATCCTGTGTTTGATCCTGTTGTCTGGTCCACTGCCAGACCTCACCAGTGGCTCACAGATCCAGCTGCTGTAGTTTCCGTTCTAGAGCGCCTGTTTCACATTTTGTGTAGATTTCAGTTTTCTGTTGAAATCCTCCCACTTTCTATCTGTCTCTTGATCCTCTTTTCTGCTCGTGAACCTGCCACCTTCGGGTTCTTGTCTGTTTGCAGTACGGATGGGTTATGGATCTGCTCCCATCTTCTTGCCTCTCCCAGGACACCCAGGCACCTGTTGACGTTACTTCCTTCCTCTCAGGGCTAAGCACCTGGCTGGTGGTGACGGGATTGGCAATGGAGATGGGAAGGTGGTTCTCTTCATGTCTACCCCACGGCCGTTGGCCCTGGGCGAGGTCCCACTTGTGTGGGCCACAGTGTCAGGAAGGGAGGGAACAAAGGCAGCTGGGAGTGAATTTGTTGGGAATCCAACTAGACCCCTTTCCCAAATCCTGGAGGGCCTGCCCAGCCCAGCCAAGGTCAGGAGTCTGCCCTGCTCACCCCAGAGCGGATGGATTTGCAGCTGGATTTGTTGGGCTACTCAGGGGCCTGAGATGAGTCTGCACCCAAGCTCCTCGTCTTCACCTGAGCTTCCTTAGGAACCCCCAACCCCAGTACCACTAAGGTGACTGGCTCTTGTGAGCAAACAGCCAGGCAAGGAACCTGTGGTCCCCAAGTGGCCCTTCCTGTTGGAGTCCTGTCCAGAGCCACACCCAGAGATCCCTCCCCACAAATTGGTCATAGCCACACTGAGGCAGAATCCTCAGGGAAGGTGTCACAAACTGCCTGCTCTACCTGGCCGCTGTGCTCATCCCCCTGAGCAGCACCTGGCTGTTGTGTGTGTTCCTGTTCAAGGGTGTTGTCTGACTGTGTGGAGGAACACCTGTCCGTGTGTGGTGTTGTGTGTGTGTGTGAAGGATCGCCTGTCCCCTGTCCATGTGTGGTGTCCCGTGACTGTGTGAAGGAGCGCCTGCCCGCTGCCCTGTATTGGCTTTCGGGTCAGCTGGAGGGAGTGTGCACAATCTGATCTTGGGTCCCTGTGTGACCATCCCCTCTTGCCTGCCCTGCAGTCTACGAGAATGAGGACCAGCTGCTCTGGGACCCCCACATCTTGCCGGAGCGGGAGGTAGAGGAGTTCCTGTACCGCGCTGTGACACGGCGGTGGGACGAGGCCGCTGGGCCCCAGCTCCCAGACGGGGAGACGGTGAAGGACAGCGAGCAGGTGGGATGCTGACAGGCTCTGGCGGTGGGCCCGTCAGCCTCTGTGTCCTTGTTGCGGGTTGGGGGGAGTCCTATAGCCACCGAGCAGTAAGGAGCCCCCGACCTCCAGGCCCTGTACGAGCTGGTGCGCTGCAGTTTCAATGCTGAGGAGGCGCTGCGGAGGCTGCGCTTCAACGTCAAGGTGATCCGAGGTAGGTGTGGCCCCGCACCGCTCGACCACGCCTCTCCCCACTCGTGCACCGCCCCCCAGAGCCCTACAGCCCTACTATTGGTTGCACCGTTGCAGATGGCTTCTGCGCCTGGAGTGAGGAGGAGTGCAGGAACTTTGAGCACGGTTTCCGCGTGCACGGGAAGAACTTCCACCTGATCCAAGCCAACAAGGTGGGCGGTGGGCGGGGGCGCGTGCATGGGGGACAGGGGGCAGGGTGGCGCAGCGATGGGCTGAACGGACCCTGTCCTCCGCAGGTGCGCACGCGATCGGTGGGCGAGTGTGTGGAGTACTACTACCTGTGGAAGAAATCCGAACGCTTCGACTACTTCACGCAGCAGACGCGCCTGGGCCGGAGGAAGTACGTCCCGTCCGGAACCACGTGCGTGCACCGCCTCCCGGCCCCGCCCAGCCCACCCACTGCTGCACCCCCACATGGCTCCGCTCATGGTACCCTTTCCCGACAGGGATGCGGACCAGGACCTGGAGAGTGGGGACCCCGACGGCCCTGGGCGCCCCCGCTCCTCACCACCCCTGCCCGCCACCACCAACTGCCTGGGCCCCCAGCAAGATGCCCTGGGGGGCCTGTGCCCAGGTGAGGCTGACACCGCACCTGGCCGTTCCCCTC